ATCTTTTAACTCCTATTGTCTTTTGTTGTTGTTATCCTTTGTTCGGTACTAACCAGTGGCTTCACCTTTCAGGCGTCAATGGACATGTGGCTGTGCATGAAGAGGGCTATTACAGCTGCCGAGCGCGCCAAAAGGTTGTACGAAGAAGGCCGCTCCAAGGTCGCCGACGCAGCGAAGGCTCTCCAGGACCACACCAATCTCGTGCAGGATATGCACGCTGCCGAACGGCAGATCCAGGCGCACGAGGAGAAGCTTGCCGAGATGCACGAGGCTCTGGATGACGCCCAGCGGGCGGCCAAGGATGCCGAGGAGGCTAAGGGGGCTGTGCAGACGGCACTGGAGGCTTCCGAGCGGCCAAAGGCAGCAGAGGTCGAGACTGCCGTTAGCGAAGCGATTAGGGGCTACTGTTCCTGTGCTGAGTTCACTACTCTTCTGGACAACGAGGTGGCTTCTGAGATGGCGGACCTCATCTACCGTTTCAAGCGGTTTAACCCAGGGCAAAAACTTAATTTGAACTTTGTTGCCGATCCCCCTCCTCTGCCGGAAGGTGTCACCGAGGAGATGATCGAGGAGTACGAAGGGGAGGACGCCCCAGGAGACGCTGATGGTCCTAATGCCGAGGAGGCTCCAGATGCTGCTGCTGATGCCAATGTCGAGACTGCCGAAGCCTGAACTCTTCTTTTTAACGATTTTGTATAAGTGTTATTTTGTTTATTTGCTGTTGGCGCTGATTCCGAACACATTAATGCCGACGGCATTTTTATTTTAAGTAATTTTTCTCTTCAAACTCGTGCGTTTTTGCTTATTTTCTGTTTGAATTCTATCCATGCTTGTTACTGCCATAGGCTAATAACTGCTTAGGATAATTACCGATTGGGCCGTTGGCCGTTGGCCGTTGGTAGATAAACCCGAAGTTGCCGTGGTACCGCCGTTGGCTCGTACACGGTAGGTAACGAATTCCAGTAGCCCTTTCTCTATAGAGATGCCCTGGGCAGGTCTAGGGTACCGTACTGGAGTTAAGTAATCCGTGTGATGAGAATACCGTAGGTAATTCCAGGGTATGGTACTGCCGTTGGCTCGTACCCAATGCTTGTTGTTGCATTCCTAAAAGGACACAATTTAATGTGCAAACAACCAATTAAAAATACCCGCAAGTGCACGAATCTATCGAAGTATAGATTATGTAAGTACGGGGTCGATCCCACGAAGAACTTGTCGGCTTCCTATAAGTTCTAATTTGAGTACGTAAAGAACACTTAATTAACACAGCACAAATGCACAAATGAAAGAGGGAAACTAGAAATGAGTAAAGAAGTGTAAAAGAAATGAAACAACACAAGAAAACTAAAGAAAAACACAAACAGCACTTTTTATCACCCTTTTATCACCTATGAACAGTGCTAAAGCGACCGGTCGTGAGGCAGAAGCGACCGGTCGTTTTTGGGCAGAGTTGAAACTCAAATTTTGA